TATATAATTCTCTTGCTCAAACAATATGCTGAAACAATTAACACGGGATGTCATTGCTAAACCTTTTAATGAGTTTAAGCAATTATAACCATGCTTATCTACATGTCAAACAAAGAGGAGAAATAAATTGAAGAATTGTCAAAACCTTTGGCGATGCATGGAATAATAAAGAACTTAATTGATATGTTTTGAGCAAAGACAGGGTTGGAAAACAGGAAGGTGTCTTGGCTCGTGTGCATGTGTTTTGTTGATGACAGTCTCCTTGAAGAAAATTATTTTCTTCGTGAAAGAGATTACAAATTGGATTAACAATTAATATACGATTTATTTATTGACATACTCATTTTTCTTCCTTGTTAAATTTAAAGTTATGATCAATATTCTTTTTATGAATATGTTATGATATCAATAAATAATTATTCATGTTCTATTGAAATTATGTCATGCGCATTTGTCATTCAAGAAAAATATTAGACTTGTTAAGTAATAGCTAGATAAATCTTAAAAAAAATTGAAATTAAATTGAACTATAAATGAAATATTCACGTTTTATATTATTATTATTATTATTATTATTATTATTATTATTATTATTATTATTATTATTATTATTTTGAATTATTTTCACCAAATACTTGTAAATAAGTATTTAATTCAAATAAAGTATGAGCATCATTTTGACTCAACAAAAGTTTGCATTTTTCCTCGGAAAGCTGAAATAAGAACCTAATCTTTTGAATTATAACTTTATTGTTTTAAATGCAGACTATTTGCAGTTAACATTCTACAAAATAAAGATCACTCAATATCACGCGTAAATTCATTTATTTATTTAATAGCATTACAATGTATGACAATAAATTTACCTAAAATCATTATTCTTTTTTGTTATATTATTTTCATTAATTTGTTCCAATATATTTTTGCAATCTTCTTTGTTTAAATTTTCCCCTTGATTGTCTTTAAATACCTTGTTTCAATGTTATTTTCGGTCTGCCTCTTTTTCTTTTACCAACAGGCATACTACTTAAAAATTTAAGTGGAAGCCGTGTTTCTTCCAGCCTTTGAACATAACTATACCTTTCAAGCTGTTTAATTTGTATAAAATATATTAATGTGTATATAATTTTCATGGATTATCCTATTGTAACATTCTTGATTAATTAATTAAGCGTAAATTTGTTATGACTATTATTCTATGGCCTTAAACATTCCAACGCTCAATGGCGTTCAATAATACATCAATAAATTATAATTACATTTGTGGAGGAAAAACGCGAATCGTCGTGAAAGGCGATATGTCAAAACCAACTGTCATGCCCACGACGACCTGAACTGTAAGGTCACCCAGATATGTGTGTGTTTGGATTCATCCCGATGTGTCAGAAATCAAACGTGTTATATATTCCTTTTTACCCTAAACAATCACTGATAAGGTGACATTTATTAATGATAGTTTTCATAACAGTTCAGTAAATAATGTTGTGCAATGAAAATGCAGTCGCTAGATTGAGTGTATAGAGAAATATTCATTCTGTGCGAGATAATATTTGTTTCGTTAACCATAATATTACAATGTGAAATTGGCAAACAAAACTATTATGGCTCTCTGAAAAGTAATTAATTAGCAACATTTAAACAAGTTGCTTTGAAAATCAGATATTTTACCATATAGAATCAAAATACGACAAAATTAATATTTGAAGTATTAAAACAATTTTTCAGAAATTATTGAAATATCAGTAAAACCTCTGTATTTCAATCATACACTGATGTTTTTGTTTTCTAGAACAAAGTCACTCCCTAAATGTTAATATATTGCGCAGAAGAGCTTTTATATCTCGCAAAATATCATTACTTTCTTCAACAATACATGATATTTAAAAAAATATATCGATTTGATTACTTTCTAATAAAGTAAAATTTTTGCACTATCTTCTTTAACTCAATCATATTATTTCAATAACTCAAATTTTTGGTTTGTGATGACACCTGAAATCATCTGTTATCATTACATCGTAACAATAAGAGATACCACATTCAACAATGTTTTTAAAACAATAAATAAATAAATAAATAAATAAATAAATAAATAAATAAATAAATAAATAAATAAATAAATATTGGAAACAAAGCAATAAACAAAAATAAATTGCAAACATACAAGTATGTAAAATAAAACATTAGCCAAATGATGACTATTATAAAATATAATGGGTCTTTAAAAATTAAAATATTCTTTCAGATGTATTCGTCGGATGAAAACACGTACAATGTTCTCTAGGAGTATTATCTGCACAGGACTAATTGCCTTCAAGTTCTAAGAAAGCTGAAGCTATAAAATTTTCAAATAATATTAAAATTCAAGAGAAACAATAAAAAATAAAGTAAAAATGAAGTAGTACATCCTATTTAATTTTAAAAACTAATATTAAAATATTTTAATATACCTTAATAATACCAAAATTTTGTTCAAACCTCATTGGCGGGTCCTACCTAACTGCGCCCCTAATTACATGCGTTTTCTGATTCTGATTTTTGATCCATGGGTTTAAGAATAATAATTAGAATACAAACGTTTGGTGTATGAAAATACTACCCCATTTAATTTATATATTATGACAGAAACGTAAAACACTTCAATATTTAATAATAGCTTGTCGTGGTACAACAGTATCATGTATTCACTGCTAAATTGAAGAAACTACCCGTCCAAACACTTTTATATTTTCTCCTTTAAGTTAAATGGCTTTGAAAACAGTTTGCTCAACACATCTCTTCCCATTTTGCTTTACAGTTACAAGTACTGAAGGTGGCGGCGTTTGGAAAAACCGTCTTTTCAAGGCACCGTCCCGTCGCTCTCAGCACCGGCGACAATCCCACTTCTCGTTCGCGCTCGCCAGAGCCTCGCAGAGCGGCAGCACATAACGCAGCGTATTGACTGCGTTTTCGCTCAGAGGCTCGTCTCTCCACTGCGGCTAGGAACGGTCCCGATGGTGGTGGATTAGCTAGTCTAAATATGCACTAGTAGCTAGGTCGAATTCAGCGGCTGACTGGATGAGAATTCTAGCAGCCGACTGCAACCGTATGATCGCTTTCGGGGCTTCCTCGAATCAACACCAGACAAACTAGGAGCAAGTAACGGATCGCGCGTGATTTTACCTTCATCTTCTTTGACTTATTATCACCCATAACACACACACACACACACGCGTGCGAACGTGTGCTACACGCTCTACTTAGATACTTGGAAGGGGGAATCTCCTGCGCGGCGACGTGTTGATCATCCTCGGATCTTACCATCCAGTGGGCAAGAAATCACCGCCACCTCCCAGGATAAACCAGTCACTACACTAACGGGACTAATGACCTTAGCAGTTGACGTACCCGAAAACATTGGAAAAAACATTCAATCAACCGCGTCAACGGTCCCACAGAAGCGCATCAGCAGCGAGAAGTTGGCATCACTGTGGGAGTTCGATCGCCAGGGACGGGGCGGGAGTGTCGTTGTGGGACATGTAGTTACGGTGACGAGAAAGTAAAGAAGGCAGGTAGGTGGGGTATATAGATTCACGGAAACTGGGAACCGGTGGAGTTGAATCCGCAAAAGATGATTCTAGAAAACTAACTAGATGTGTGCGATGTGATGGTACAGTTCCATTTTGAGATGCAGATGGTAGATGCAGCAAATTGACTAAACTGGCAAAAACGCTGGGTCAGAGATGGTGTAGACATGCGAGAACTGCCGGCGAATGCTGCATGGATGGTGCAGCCGGACATAACTGTACAAAAGGAGTAAGTAGCTATTTATAATTTGCAGGCCCTTCAACCACTTAAATCGTTTTTCTCCAGCAGGGCATGTTATATCCCGGAAGGTGGAGGGGTTTCTCCCTCGATGGGACGTGAAATCCACCGCCAAACTACTGGACAGTTTGCGGATGTACTTTTGCAAGTATCTTCTTAGGAGCTACACCGCCCCAGTTGGAACAAGCTCAAATCTCTCGGCATGTTAATACAAGTGTAGTGATGAGTACAAGTGTAGGAGTACAAATTTGGAAGGAGGGGATGGATTACAGAAGTGTCGCTACAGAGTCGCTACGATAGACTGATGGGTGGGGTGGGTACGTAGTTACAGAAGAATTTGCCTAAGAACGAGCCAAAATGACAGTTCGCTAAACAAGTGAACATCACATGAAATTCAGAGAAATATACCTCAGCCACGACAACTGCTCAGCAACGACTCTTCGTAAAGTGTTTATGTTTATACATGGCTCCCGTTAAGACATCATAGATTATCATGGTTCACAACGGTGGAACTACATAAAAAATAAATTGATAACACGCAAACCACGGAACGTTCTCGATCACAGACTGCCACTTTCCCACACAGGAACAGGAAACCTGCGCCAGTGCGCGTCTGAAATTCAAGACTTGGTCTTCAAATAAACAAAATACTTATAACACAAAACGTAAAATCAATCTAATGTTTATATAAATGAAGAATTTTTACAAAAGAGCACACTAGCACTCAACTACCTAATTTCAATGATTTCTAGTGGCGAACTATATTTTCGTCGGACGAGGACACCACAAAAGGAAGCGTATGAAGCCATTTACAAGTTAGCCAACTGCAAACAAACGAATGAATAGAGGAGAGTCCAATGGGCTGCAGGACACAACGACCACAGAACCTTCAGTTGTGGTGTCAGAAATAGCTGTCAGAACCGTCCATTCCTATAAAAATTGCTCTATCCGCGACAGCATTACATGTGCAGAGAGGCAAAGAGCGTAGTGAGTGAGGTGAAGGAATCGGAAAGGACGAAACTAACGGCTGGAGTTAGAAACGGGAGCAAGGTCAGCAGCAGCAACAGCTGTAGGGGCGGCGGAGGGTGGGAGGGAACGGAGATGACGAGGTCGCCAGCAGCGGCGCTTAGGGAAGGGATGACTGCGGCAAAGGCAGCAGTGTCGGCGGCGTCAACGGCGGCCATTGACGGTGACAGTTACGGCGGCGATGACGTGAGGGGGTCGGCGGCGGCAGTGGGGACGGCGGTGACGGCGGAGGTGACGGCGGCGGTGACGGCAGTGATGACGTCGGTGGTGACAGCGGCGGTGATGGCGGCGGTGACGGCGGTGGTGACGGTGACGGTCACGTCTGTGATGACGTGAGGGGGTCGGAGCATCGTCGGCGAGGCCGCCAGAAGCGGCGGTGGGAGTGGTGATGTCTGGGGCGGAGGCGGCGGCAGCGACGGCGGGGTCGGATACTTGCTCGACTCGACTCCGCGTCCTGGGAGAGCGCCGAGCGATGCGGGTGAGGCGTGTTTTCGCCACTTTCCCATTCAGCTCCGTGAATAGCGCGCAGACGACGATCCATTTGCATACGTGCGGCGAGGGCGGCGCGCGGCGCCGGCAGCCAGAGGTCCCGCGGAAGCCCGGAGCACGAGCAGCGCGCGGGGAGCGCAGGACGGAGATACGACTCGGCGCTGGCATGCAGTAGCAGGCATAAAGAGACGGCTGCAGGATGAGAGAGGGAATTGCACAGTTGAAGTGAGAGAATGGGGAATGGAAGAAAGAGAAAGAGTCAGCTGTTGGGAATGGGCGAATGTAAACCGGTTCGGTTTTGTTCGTTGTTTTTTTTAAAGAGCGTTATGGTGCAACTTTAAGAGAGGAAAGTTCAATTTGAAAGGATACAGATTGATAAAAATATTAGAACTGGATGGGTACTAACAATTTGTTGTAAGTAGATGGATCAATTTGGCGTATTTGGAAATGTTGAAATGGAACTTTACCAGTATGAAGGCATTGAACAAGCAAAGCAAGCTTTAAAAAGTGATGTGTCCAAAAAAACTGGAGATAATATTTTATTGTGACACAAAAGGAAGTTGTTGAGAAGTAAACCTATTGGTAATGTAGATAATAGGGGTTTCACATAGAGACACACAGAATTCCATTAGATATAGTAGGAATTTAAATAAACGTGATATTGCCAAAGCGGATACAACAGACAAGAAAATAGTTGCAAATAATTGTTATAATGACTCTCTAATAGAAAAGTGAGTAGTACTAACAATTAGATAAAACAACCTATAAATGATGAGTGAGAAAAATGTGTATTATGAATCGTGGTGAGAACTTGCAAAAATTGAGTGAGAATGAAGAGAAAGGGAGATAGAGGGGAGAAAGACAGGAGGAGAGAGGGGGAGAGAGAGAGGTGAAGAGAGAGAGGGGGAGAGAGGGGGTGAGAAAGGGAG